CTCACTTTGTATCTCTGCAGGGATAAGATGTTTGAAGCTAAAAGAGGGACTGATTTTTTTTTCCGATTTTAAGCTTGTGTTGTTAGCTTGAATGACAACTTTTGTTTCTCTCCAGCGACAGTGGATCATGGCTGTGATTTTGCATGGCTGTGGGAAAATGAGAGGCAGAGAGAGGAGAGTGAGACGCGTGACTAGGAGATGAAGGACCTGCCAGTTCATTGAGAGGCCAGTCTGAATTCACAAAGCTCCTGTGTACTCAGTGATGTTTGTTAAACTCAAATACGCGCTGCGCTCTCAATACACTGTCAGATTTACACTGAGAGCTCTGAAAGGTTGAGTGCTGCTTGTCGGACACTGTATTTTTAGCACAGCTCTTGTATAACAAGAAGGAGAGTTGTTGGAGTCGTAAGAGCTGAATGATATGGACAGAATACTAGTTTGGAGAGTAAATATTGGTCCTTTTGTGATTGTGATGTGCTTTCTGATATATTAAAGGGCCCATAACATGGAAAACCAAACAGTCCTTGCTTGTAAAAGTGTTTGATGTGGTAGGTAAACACTATTAGAGTTTAATAGCATACCATTCAGTCTCTAGATACATGCTATTCATGTGTAGAAACTAAGCTGCAGAAATAATGTTTGCCTTTTCAGCTTATAAGGATTTAGCTCCGCCCACTGAAGTGATGAAAGGAGTGTTTCAGCTCGGACTGCGTTTTGAATGAGGTGTAAGACAGAGCAGCCAATCAGAACAGAGGCAGTTTACATATACCAGCCTGGCACAGTAACAAAAACAGCCTGTTTAATTTTAAGGGACAAAAAGAGGTTGGAAAATGTTAATGAAAAAATCAGTTATGACTTTTTCTGGTACTTAAACCTTACAAAAGTAGACTTCAAAGAAAAAGGAAATACGTGAAATTGTACGACATGAGCTGTGCCCTACATATTCCCACACACCCACTAAAACCTTATATGTGGACATCAGGGGGGTCAAATATAATAAAAAGAATTGTAGGTTCTTTAAAACATTATTGTTAAAACAATAATATGACATGGTTGAAGGTTGGACTGTATAGTTGACCAAAATAATTGACTTTTTTGTGAGTTTAGAAGACAATTTATGATAGAAATGCGAAACTGCAAACAATATCCAAGCATGAATAATATGGTAAAATATAAAATGATTTTTAAAATAAATCATAACGATAAAATAGTAATACAATATAAATATAGCAGGGATAGAAATCAACAGAGATAATTAAAATAATAAAATAATAAATAAATAAATAAACGGTTCCTTTTTTTGGATAGCCCCTGTAGATTGTCTACAGATGTTCGAATTGTTAACAAACTGTCTGGTGAAACTCAGGCCATTCTTAATAGTGTTAGGGTTAGGATTAGCACCAAGGTTAGGTTTAGGACCAGGGTTAAGGTTAGGCTTAGGGAAAATGATGGTAAATATAATAGATATTTAGTTCAATGTAAATTAAATGTAAGGTAAGCATCTGCAAAGCCTCTACAGTGGGCAATCCTAGTGAAGTGTACCAAATAAGTTAATGAATAAATAACAATAGTAATTATAGTAACAAAAGAATATCAATATTATAAAAAATCTTTTCTCTGAGCCCAATATCAACTGGCAAATGATATACTGTAGGATGGAGAAAGAGTGCTGTGGTGCAGGGAGGGCTGTCCGGCAGGGCTATTAGGACAATGGCAGGCCACACACACACACACACACACACACACACACACACACACACACACACAGAGACACTGGGGCGAGCGTGGGTGGGTGCCGGGCACCGTGCCAGGCTGGAGCAGGCCTGAATGGGGCCAGTGGGTGGACGGGTTTTGGTTGAGCTGTCGACCCTGACGCACCTCCGGCCTTCAGTGCCCACGCTGGGCCAATACTGGGCCACGCTGCCTGGCACCCACTGGAACTGGCCCTGGTGTACTGAATCACCCTGGAGTGAGTTCCGGTACAGCAGTGACTCAGATTTCACAACAACACGACTAAGCAGTTTAGCAAAGGTGTGTGATGATACGCCTGTTCCCTGATGGTTGGAAAATAGTGTCAGTGCATCGTGATGGATTGAACTGAAGGTCGTGATTCAACTGTATCGATTTGATTGTAATAATATTCAGTAAAATCTGAGTCAATTTTTTTTGCCAAAATAAAATTCTCAGGCTAAATTCATATGAGGCAAAATAGAAAGAAAAAAGCTTGTTTTATTAAATTCTGGATTGTACCAAATAATCAAATAGAGTTGTAAAGATTTAATGATGCATTGAGCTGATTCCTAAAGACTCAACATCAGATCTAATGGAGAGCCTTTCTCATTCTAATCTAATCATAGTAACTGAAAACAAACTGCTTTCAAATGATGAGTCAAATCCAAGCAAAGCAGATCTAAGTGAATCATATTGATTCACATTTAAGCAGGCTACAGGGGCTCTCACCCCAGTGGAAATCTGATTGGCCGTTTAAGTGCCCTGTCGCTCCTGTCCAAGCATCTCACTGACTGATTACAAAAAAAAAACAAAGTTAAAAAACCTCTGAACCCAAGAGGCCCAAATCATATGCAAATTAGTGATGGGCTTTTTTAATTGATTCTTTTTAAAGAAACAGTTGAACCAGTTCACCAATAGCCAAGTCAAACAGTACTGGACTTTTTGGGTGCATTAACTTAAATAATAGCATAAAACACGGTATTATAACATATTAAGAACAGTCTCGTTGAGTTCTTTTACATTATCATTGTCTAGAGCAGAGGCTGGGTCACAGCAGTGTGCCGGGGGGATAGCTAGTAACTGCAGAAATACCTAATTTTAGCAGTTACCTAATTTTATTAGTATTATTAATAAATGTGCTATTTATTTATTAATATTTATTATTAATAAATGTGATTATTATGATAGTGTTTTTTTTTTCCATGTAAGGCTAAATTGAGCACGTCTTATTGGAGCCATAAACAGAAAAAATAGGCATTGAAAACAAGAACAAAATGGTACCAAGACACTTTCTCTCATATATATATATACATACATACATAGTCGAAAATAATATGACAGCTACATAAAAATGTATTCATTGCTAGTGCTGATACTAATACATTAAAACCATTGAGAAGCAAATGAGGCTATGAAGCCAGTTGCTTTGCATTTAGGGGATGTTCTTTGATAACAGCAAAGCATAGCCTAGTCATTGTGCTGCACTGAGAGAGATTCTGAGCCCATTAGTGAAGTAGATGTAGGGGACCTCAGAGTCAAGCATTCATCATTATAAATGGAGGAGACGAGAATAAAGGTATGTTTATTTGTGAATCACTTAATTGTTCAGTTGGATATTTGATTCGTTGAATTGTACGCTTTAAGAGAATCAGTTTCCCATCACTAATCTAAACTGGATCAGTGTGTTATATGAGTGTATTTAGTGGTGAATGTGCTGAGTGGAAATCCCCCTCAAACCCAACAGCAGGGCCCGGGGGGAGAATCCCCTCCATCCAGAGGGATCATCTCTCCATCTCTAATGTGACTGCTAGGATCAGTAATGAACACAAACTCCATGATGTGACTAATCCCACACAGAAAATATATATATGGACAAAATGGTAACTTTACAGAAGAAGGAAGAACACACTTTTAATGTAAGCCAGTGGAACCAGACATTTTAAGTCATTATTCTGATTGGTTTAATGTGAAGTGGGTCATTGTAGAGAAACTTACTGACTCATATTTCTTTAAAGTGGTGATGATAGGAACTATTTTATGTATTATATATTTTTGGCGGGATATTTTGCCTTAAAGGATATTCATAGCCATTTCATATAATAACGTTCCGTGAGGGAGCGTTTAGAGGTGGACGTCCGGTTCCTATCACCGCCACTGTGAACAATTCTGACACGGTGAGTTTCTCTAGAACAGAGCATTTCACACCAAACCGCTCTTGAATCACTTTGTTTACATCTTAAACGTTTAATAATGCAGACATTTTGGACAGTCAGTGGAATTCTCCTTTAATATGTACAGTATATGCGATGTGCGCGATTTCAGGATTCAATTTTCAATGTTTTATATGATAAATATGTGTTGATTGTACAGTGCTCTGACTGTATATTACAGAGATTAGTTTTTCTCAGAGAAATTACAGTGGAGTAATGCCCAAACAATGAAATACAGTAAATGAAAGACCTTCCCAAGACAGGAAATGTTACTGAATTGGGAAAAAAGCAAAAGGAAGCTGTCTCTCTTTCTTTCTCTCACTCGTACAAGCCTGAGTAAAATGTTTGTGCTTCCGCTGCTGGACCGAAGCCATGACTTAAGTGTGTGTGTGTGTGTGTGTGTGTGTGTGTGTGTGTGTGTGTGTGTGAGCGTGAGCGTGAACAACGTTGCATGTGTGGCAGCAGCTGCAGAGTTCCTGATCAGAGACCTCCACAGACCAGCCTTGTTCACAGGGTGTGTGTGTGGGGGGGTGACTGGTTTTGTCAGGATGAGAGACAGACAAAGTGCAGGCTTGCTCTAGCTGGAGTTGCTGATCCAGGGCAGCACTCACAGATGAGAGAGTCCAGGTCAGGGCTGTCCAGTCCCGCTCCTGGAGTTCTACCACCCAGATCCAGCACACTTGGCTCTAACATTTAGCTGCTCCTGAAAGCCTGCATTACCTGGATCAGGTATGTTAAGATTTGGATTGGTGCTAAACTGAAGGGTAGTAGATCTCCAGGACTGGGAGTGGGCACCTGGTCTAGAGCAGGGGTCTCAAAGTACCTGCCTGCGGTCACATCCTGCCCACAAGATTCATACAACCCCTCACAGTTACAGTGTATCCTTAAAGGAGACTTTCACCGATTTTTGAAAATGTAAAAAAAATTGAGACGTAAACAAAGAGTGGTTTGATATGAAATGCGCTCTCTCTCTCTCTCTCTCTCTCTCTCTCTCTCTCTCTCTCTCTCTCTCTCTCTCTCTCTCTCTCTCTCTCTCTCTCTCTCTCTCTCTCTCTGCAGAATATGAGTGATGCGATGGCGGTCCTCCATAAGCTGCAGACGGGTCTGGATGTGAACGTGAAGTTTACGGGGGTCCGAGTGTTTGAATACACGCCGGAGTGTATCGTCTTTGACCTGCTGGACATCCCGCTGTATCACGGCTGGCTGGTCGACCCGCAGGTGCGCAAACACACCCCTTACACACTGCCAAGCCCAGTTCAAGCTGGATTAGATTTACCTGCGGGTGCTGTAATTTGAGTGTTTACTAAGAAGGTCAGTGATTTTAACCCAGTATGAATCTGCCGTGTCCATAGTTTGATGGGTAATAATTCCAGAGCGAATCAGTAAACCAGACCTGGAGCTCCCTCAGTAACGGTTGTTCTGTTTGAATCAACATCACAGTACTGTCATTAAAATACTAATAGAAAACTTTTTTTGGTGACCTGAAGACAAGGCTGCCTGCTCACCCAGTTCCCTAATCCTCAGGTTCATGATAGCATGGGCCACCCCACACTGAAACGAGATGTAACAGTAGCAGTAATGCCAACCAGTCAGGACTCAGTAGCAGTAATGCCAACCAGTCAGCACTCAGTAGCAGTAATGCCAACCAATCAGCGCTCAGCAGTAATGCCAACCACTCAGGACTCAGTAGCAGTAATGCCAACCAGTCAGCGCTCAGTAGCAGTAATGCCAACCAATCAGCGCTCAGTAGCAGTAATGCCAACCAATCACCGGTCAGTAGCAGTAATGCCAACCAATCAGCGCTCAGCAGTAATGCCAACCACTCAGGACTCAGTAGCAGTAATGCCAACCAATCAGCGCTCAGTAGCAGTAATGCCAACCAATCACCGCTCAGTAGCAGTAATGCCAACCAATCAGGGCTCAGCAGTAATGCCAACCACTCAGGACTCAGTAGCAGTAATGCCAACCAGTCAGCGCTCAGTAGCAGTAATGCCAACCAGTCAGCGCTCAGTAGCAGTAATGCCAATCAATCAGCGCTCAGTAGCAGTAATGCCAACCAGTCAGCGCTCAGTAGCAGTAATGCCAACCAGTCAGCGCTCGGTAGCAGTAATGCCATCCAATCAGCGCTTGGTAGCAGTAATGCCAACCAATCAGCGCTCAGTAGCAGTAATACCAACCAGTCACCTCTCAGTAGCAGTAATGCCAACCAATCAGCGCTCAGTAGTAGTAATGCCAACCAATCAGCGCTCAGTAACAGTAACGCCAACCAATCAGTGCACAGTAGCAGTAATACCAACCAGTCACCTCTCAGTAGCAGTAATGCCAACCAGTCAGCGCTCAGTAGCAGTAATGCCAACCAGTCAGCGCTCAGTAGCAGTAATGCCAACCAATCAGTGCTCAGTAGTAGTAATGCTAGCGTCCTTCTGCCCAAAACCTGTTTGCTGTACTGGTATGTTTTCATTGATTTTTAATGAAATACATCTGTTTTCCTGCATAAATGGTTAGTAACATTTTTTAATTTTAGCCATTCAGCTCTGATCACCCTCATTCATTCAGGACTCGTGGGCGTCCTCGAGCTTTTTGCAGTCATGTTGACTCTGGTGGCTTCTTCTGCGTAACACTGATGTGAAAGTCTGCACAATGCTGTTTCGATCTGAGCTAAATGGGATAATTTGGGGAAATTACACAGATCCTTTATCCCAAATGAATCGGCCAGTCAGGTCACGCGCAGAGTCCATTAGCGGACCTCCTCTGGTAAATATAACATATGTAGAACAGGGCTTTACTGAGACACACACACATTAAACACAGCTCTGATACACAGCGTTCTCTTTTTTAGCCTCACAGTCGTGATTTTATTCACAAACAGTAGAAGAATCTGCACTGCTCACAGCAGCGTGACATCATCTGAACACAGACTTACTGCTGCACTTTTGAGGAGCGATTGTGTTTTTTTTTTTTTCTCCTCCTTCTCGTTTCCCCCATTGAGTTCTGCGCACATACGGCGTGTTGAACAGCCTGAACGAGAAACACTTTGATACTCCCTTCTGTTCCATTGTCCTATTTTTGTTCTCTCTCTCTCTCTCTCTCTCTCTCTCCTTGTTTTATTTGTCCTTGTGTATGTTGCATGTTATGTTGTTTTTTATTATACTATTTTTCAAACATTTTCTTTTAGTAATAGTTTGGGTTATTTTATATGCAGTAATGACTCACACCAGGGGTCACAAGTCCATTTTAACATCTTGGCTGTAAAGATGTCTCGGTATGTGCTTAATACGTACCAGTAAAGGCTTAAAATAGAATACGAAAACACAGACTTACTTTGCTCTGCTTTAAGCTTAGCTGTAGCTGCTTTTCTTGCATCTCCGGCAGGAAACTTTTCCGCAAAAGTAGAACAGTTTCTTGTAAAATGTCTCTTAGCGCTTTACGAGGCTGAAGTCGCTGAATGAAGGCTCATTCCCCAGCTTCTAATTTTCCTGTTCCACCTTTAAAAGGTGCCTGTTTAGCCAGAATGTAACTGCTGCACCATTTAAGGTGGAACGGGACAATTCAAACTGGTGACTTTTTAGTGTTTGACAGTTTCTCATTGCAGATTAAACGTATCAGGAAACCAGCTGGGGTGATTATAAATGTGTATAAGTTCGTTCGTTTTCAAATTATTGATGTCTGTTTATCATAAATCTTTCCCTTTAGATATTCTGGAACTTAGAACTTCGTTCTTGGTGTTTTGCTGTTTTGTCTCATTTTAGAGTGACTGTTCATTATTCTGGACACGTTAAGTATTTCTTTCATTTTACAGCTCAGTACAAATTATTTGTAATCTATCAAGTTTTTTACACAATTTTTATGTTTTTATTTATCAATGTTTTCTTACTGCAATACCCAACATGCATTAAACAGAAAGTACTGGGCATCTTCCCACACGACATTAAAGAAATCCTTACTGCTAATGTAGACGCGGTAGAGGCTGTGGTGATGTAGAGGGTAAAGTGCTGAATTCATTTTATACATTATAAATAGATTTTTTATTGTTGAAAACACTAATTCCGAACTTTTGAACTCTAGGCTATGTATTCAGTTTGTACTATAACCTGACTGAAGTGCAAATTTTGTAACTGATTGCGATTTTAAGGGGCTAAAATTTCTGATAACTAATAATATCAGCGGATTTCATTTGAGAGATCGAGCTCTGATTATGTCACAGCCACCAAATGTGTGTATGTGTGTATAGATGTGTATGTATATATGCACTATATGGACAAGAGTATTGGGACACCTACACTTTACACCCACCAGGGCTTTTATGACATCTATGACATCCCATTCTAAATCCATAGACATTAATATGGAGTTGGTCCCCCTTTGCAGCTAAAACAGTTTCCACTCTTCTGGGAAGCTTTCTACAAGATTTTGGAGAGTCTGTGGGAATTTTTGTCCATTCATCCGGAAGAGCATTTGTGAGGTCAGACACTGATGTTGGACGAGAGGGCCTGGCTCACAATCTCTGTTCTAGTTCATCCCAAAGGTGTTGGATGGGGTTGTGGTCAGGGCTCTCTGTGGGTCAGTCAAGTTCTTCTACTGCAGACTCACCCAGCCATGACTTTGCTTTGTGCGCTGGGACTCAGTCATACTGGAACAGAAAAGGTTCTTCCCCAAACTGTTCCTACAAAGTTGGAAGCACACAGTTGTCCAAAATGTCTTGGTCTGCTGAAGCATTAAGATTTCCCTTCACTGGTTCTAAGGGTTCTAGACCAACCCCTGAAAAACAACCCCATATCATCATCCCTCCTCCACCAAACTTTACAGCTGGCACAGTGCAGTCAGGCAGGTAACGATTCTCCTGGCATTCATCAAACCCAGACTTGTCCAGATAGAGAAGCGTGATATATATATCATGTGTGTGTGTGTGTGTGTGTGTGTGTGTGTGTGTGTGTGTGTGTGTGTGTGGGTATATATATATTAGGGGTGGGAATCTCGAGGCACCTCACGATTCAATTCGATTACGATTCAGAGGGCTGCGATGCAATTATAAAACGATTATCGATGCATCTCGATGCATCTTTTTTTTCTATATAGCATTTATATTTTCTCACTGTGTGAGCTCAACTTTCGAGTTCAAGTTTCAAGTTTATTTGTTATTTGCACAACATGTCAGGACATTTATGCATTGAAATGCTTGTGGTGAGGCTCAGCTAATCACTCTACAGAAAGTAAATAAATAAAAATAAAAATACAAGAAAAACCAACTGAAATATATTAAATCTACACAAAATATACACAGAATATACACAGAATATAGAGACAATATACATTTTAAAGTGACTGAGTGACTCGGTGTTGTTATTTAAAGTGACTTGGTACTTTTAAAGCAAAGTATTTGTAATGATCCATAATGAATTTACTTCCAATATCTTTTTTAATAAAACAGATGGAAGTGATGTGACAAGTGAACTAGAAGGCTCTCATTCACTGCTCTTGTTTGGAGCACGAGAAGCTGCTGCTACTCATCTGCGATAAAATGCGCAGTTACGGTGAAATAAGATCCAGTGGTGATGGATGTCCACGCAGCACGTTACAGCTATTCTACCTGTTTTCTTTAGTGATTTTATAACTTCGGTTTTTGTCTCGTTGTAGAGACGGGGGGAATCGTTGTTTCAGTAAAGTATCTTTGAGATGGGACGTGTGCAACATAGCGCGAAAGCCCTGTTTCACAACGACTGAGAACCGGCGTGCAGACTGCAGGTCACAGTGATGCGTTATTCGCATTTATAAGCAGCGCAGTTGGTTTCCTGGTACGTTAAATCTGCAACGAGAGACTGTCAAACACTAAACAGTGGCGAAGCTGAAGTCGCTTCTCTTTTGAATTCTCCCGTTCCACCTTAAATGGTGCCGCATTTACATTCGGCGCCTCAGTTAGAATTTAAGGTGGAACGGGTAAATTCTAACAAGGAGCTGGAGAATAAGAAGCGACTTCAGCCTCGTAAAACAGTCGAACGCTGAGAGACATTTAACTGATCAACTTCTGAGAAAGTTTTCTGGCGGAGATGGGAGGAAAGCGGCTACAGCTGAGCTAAAGCTTAAAGCAGAGCGAAGTAAATCTGTGTTTTCGTTTATATTGTTTAGTCTATACTAGGACATTAACACACACTGAGACATACTGGGCATTTTTTTCCTGCCCCCCTAGTGCACATATATATATATATATTTAATATAGCCTTATTGGCATGACTATCAACTGTACTATTATCAGTGTATTCTATTTTCTCTCTCTCTCTCTCTCTCTCTCTCTCTCTCTCTCTCTCTCTCTCTCTCTCTGTAGATGGCTGATATAGTGAAGGCGGTGGGGAACTGCAGTTATAATCAGCTGGTTGAGAAGATAATCAGCTATAAACAGTCGGAGAACAGTGAGCTCGCTGGAGAAGGTGTGCACATTCATTTTTCCATCCCTTCTTCCTTTCCTCATCTTTTTTCTCTTCCTCTCCTTTTCTCCTCTTTCTCTTTTTCTTCTGCGTGATTATCCTGCACTCCTTCTATTTTCCTGCTCTTTCCTGCTGTTCTTCTTTTCCTGCTCCATCTCTCTTACTCCACTGTTCTTCACATTTCTTGCTCTCCTTCACTCTTCCCTTTCTCTTCCTCCCAATCCCTGCTCTTTTTCCTTTTCTTCATCTTTTCTCTTCTCCTCTTTTCCTGCTCTCTTTTCCTTTTCTTTTTTTCTTGCTCTATCTGCTCTTCTCTTTCACTTCCTCTCATTCCCTGCTCTATGTCTATCTCTCCTCTCTGCTTTTCCTCTTTTTCTCATCTTTGTATCTTTTCCTGTACTTTTTTTCTTTTCTGTCCTTTTTCTTGTCCTTCCTCTTTTCCTGCTCTGAGTCTACCCCCTCTATCTCTCTGTCCTTTCGTCCTCTTTTGTTTCCAGAGTGTGTGTGGAGTCTCTCCTCTCCTTCCGGCTATGGGTTCTGTTTTTCTCTCTCTCTCTCTCTTTCTCTCACGCTCCTCATGTAGCTGCTGCCCTGAGAGAGAGAGGGAGGGGGGGGAGAGGGGCGGAGAGGAGAGAAAGATGTATTTCCGTCTTTGTTTATTTCTCTTTTTGTGAGTTTTTCGTGGCTCTTGTTGCATCATAAATAAACAGTGTGTGAAGACTATAGCTGCTCCTTCTCTCTCTCTCCCACTCTCTCTCCTTCTCTGTCCCACTCTCTCTCTCTTTGCGCTCTCTCTCTACCTCTCTCTCTACCTCTCTCTCTCTTTGCGCTCTCTCTCTCTCTCCCACTCTCTCTCCTTCTCTCTGTCCCGCTCTCTCTCTCCACCTCTCTCTCTCTCCCACTCTCTCTCCTTCTCCCTGTCTCTCTCCTTCTCTCTGTCCCACTCTCTCTCTCTCTTGCACGCGCTCTCTCTCTCTCTCTCTCTCTCTCTCTCTCTTTTTCCTATATGACGTTATGTGTGTGTTTTGTTTGTGTCTCAGGGTTTGTGGCAGAGCAGTTCCTCAACAGTACGGCCACCCAGCTGACCTATCACGGCCTGTGTGAACTCACCTCCACCGTGCAGGAGGGAGAGCTGTGTGTGTTCTTTAGAAACAACCACTTCAGCACCATGACCAAATTCAAGGTGAACACACACACACACACACACACACACACACACATCACGGTCATTGTAGAACTTTTTTTCTGTGGACACCTGCTCCTCCAACGTTCTTCTGAGATGAAGGGTATTAATAGTGAATTTGTCCTCCTTTGCTGCAGAAACAACTTCTTCTCTTCTGGGAAGTCTTTACACTAAACCAGGGGTCAGAAACATGCGGCTCTTTTTCTGCCCTGTTGTGGCTCCACAGCAGAATTAGATTTGTAGGTAAAAATAAAATAATCCTCCTTTACAGTAAAATAAAGCTCTGCTGGTCGTTCAACACAGTTTTAACAATAAATGGTCTTAAACGCTGGAGTTACTGTAGAACTGCTAATTCACCCTTCGGTGCGCAGACTGCACAGCACATCTGGGGCGCAGATGTTGGAATATTGCTGTAAAGATATGATTGCAGCCAGTAGAGCATTAGTAGTAACGCAGACAACAATCTCACCTAGCTAGTAACTAACGAAAAGGCAAAGAAAAGAACTTATTTGGACTTATTTGCATTTATAATGACTGCAGCTGGTTTCCTGATATGTTTAATCTGCAACAAGAAACTGACACACACTAAAAAAAGTCACAAAGCTTCTTGTTCGAATTTTCCCGTTCCACATTAAATGGTGCAGCAGTTACATTCTGGCGCTTCGGGCACCATTTAAGGTGGAACGGGAAAATTTGAATAAAAAGCTGGTGAATGACAAGCTGATTTCAGCTTTGTAAAAAATCGAATGCTAAGAGACATTTTACAAGAAACTCTTGTAAAACTTTGTACTCCTTTAGCTCATGCTTGGCTTTGGGCATGGTGACCTGAGGCTCATGTGCAGCTGCTCCTGAGCGTCGCATTCTGTTGGCATTGACTGAACACCTGTGTCAGCAATAGGTGCTTAATTAACTAAAGTCCACTCATTACAAAGGCTGTCTGGATGCTTTTGGACATAGTGTTGTTTGTATGATCCAGTGGAGGAATGATGTGCACTGTTGCCCTCTAGTGGCCAAAGACATACACCTACAGCAGCAATCACCAACCCTGATCTACTTCCCTGCGGAGTTTAGTTCCAACCCACATCTAACATGCTGCCACTAATGCTGCAACACTAATGCATCTGATCCAGCCAGTCAAAGACTTCTGCAGAAGTGATTTAGCTGGAGCTGGTGTGGCAGATTGTAGTTGAAACTAGACTCTGCAGGAAGGTAGATCTTCAGGACCAGGCTTGGTGACCACTGATCTACAGGTTTGTACGTACAGTAGACAAATGTAACCCAGTGAAATCAGTAGCAGAGACCTTTTTTATTTCAGATCCAGCTCTGTTACTGAAAGTGTCCTACACAAAAAACTGTTGCATACAGTGTAAATTGTAAACTTACAAGCTTGGACTTCTTTACAGTGTTGGTGATAGGAACCAGGAGCCACTGTGTCTATAATGTACATATAGCCATTTTATTTTAAAAAAATGCATGTATGTTTTTCTTTGGGCGCTTTTTTTGCCTTACGATATCCTGCATGTATCTCTCCGGCATGAATAAATAAATACACATACGCTTTAGGCTCCAACCCTGTATTAAAACTATCGTTAAACAATTTGGCAAGCGCCAGGAGCATCAGTCTTTTTGTCACGTTGCTTTTTAAGCGCTTCAGATGTCTGGTTCCTGTTCCTGTCACCACTGTGAACAATTCTGACTCTGCATCTTTCACTAGAACAGGGCTATTTAATTAAAATTCAATAAGGTCCAGTTAGAGAAAATTTCCTCAAGCAAAGGTCCAGAACATCATGATGTCTAAGTTGCATCATGATTCAGTGCCATATACTGTTTATTGAAGTAGCCTAGTAATTATATCAACATCTTATTCAGTCAACAACTGAATATTAAATCAAATAAAGTACAGTTCAGTCATATTTCAACAACATTTGTCAGTTTTCTCTTTTTAGAGCTCACCATGAGAAATAACTTCCCTCTGACTTTCTTCTCCGACTGCTGTTTCTCACCTCGTCCCTCCCCTATGTGTGCATTGCTCACTCGTGTCTCAGTGCTCATCGTAATGCACAGATCTGATTGGCTGAGTAGCATGCGATTGGTCTGTGAGTTTCCTGGGCCGCTAACGTGGTACCGTAAAGACTAGACAAGTTACGCCAATTAAAACAGGACCACCCCATCGAAATTAAATAAATCTCCATAGTTCATCAGTTAAAGGTCCAGGACCGCATAGGACAGCATCTGGGTGCAGACTCGGACCGCGGTCCGCCTATTGGTGACCTCTGCACTAGAATGATGCATCTGATATCAGAACATTTTGAATGACTTTTGGAGTTCTGAAACAAATTCTGAAATTGGTGGAATTCCCCTTTAATGTCTGCTTAAAGCCTCAAATTAAACTAAGAAAGTGCTTTACAAGTCATCAAATGTCTGTGTTTAATGTAGAATGGGCAAAAAATGTTCACGTTAATTTTCTACGTACTAGAATTCCATAGGGGTGCTAGCAGAAGTTAGCATTATTTCAAGGTGTTTTCGTTCTGAGTTTTGGCATTTATGGCCCAGGCTAAAGACCCACCTCTGACAACTTGGTAGTCAAAATTCTAATATGGTGACAAAACTATTTGTATGCAGTTGTTCTGTTAAATTGATACACTGGTAACATACTACAGTGGATACTGTGTGTGTGCATTGAAAGCTGTTCTCTCTTTCGGCGGCAGGGCCAGCTGTACCTGCTGGTGACGGATCAGGGTTTTCTGACGGAGGAGAAGGTGGTGTGGGAGAGTCTGCATAACGTAGACGGAGACGGGAACTTCTGTGACTCTGAGTTTCGGCTGAGGCCGCCATCCGACCCGGAGAGTGTTTACCGCGGCCAGCAGGATCAGATCGACCAGGTCAGAACAACAGAACCAATATGTAAGCCTACACTAGTGGTTTCTTGACCTCAAAGCCCACCGGACAGTCCACATTTTTGCTCTGAACCAGCACCCAGTACACATTTACCAGGTATCTCGTGTGCAATACAGAGGGCAATATGCCGTTGTCTATTCGCGCCTCCCAGCCTTTGCCGATTGATGATACTGTCATAGGGTGGGAGGTTGGGTGGGCAGTTCACTTTACAATGAAAAAACTCTGCACCACCACCATCTGAGCACATGGTCAGTGTGTACAAAAAAAAAGCCGTAAAAATAGACTGCAGGCTGTTCCTCGTCCTCTTAGGCCGGTTTCACACTGTAATTGTTTGCTAAAAGTCCTCGTCAGAGTTTGGATTTTTGTGACATGGTATCTTTTTCATTTGATTCAGTTCAGTTTCACCCTGCAACGCTTAAAGTGCAGATGTGGGTGTTTGTTTATTGGTCAGAAATGTTCCAGAGATACGAGCGCTCTGTTCCTCTCATATTTGCCACCATGAAAATGAAAAAAACTGAAACGTCCATGTGCATCGCTGTCAAAGCAGTAATGCTAAACCTTACTTCATATCTGCTCTCTATCTCCCCATACACTGTTTCTCTCTCTCGTTTGTGTTTGGCGAAGCTGATATGACCCATAATAACGTCTGTGGACTTTCTATGATACGTAGCCCGGTTCTGAATAGTTCTGTCAGTTGTTAATTGTGTGTATGTGTGTTTGTGTTGTAGGACTATCTGATGGCGCTGTCGCTGCAGCAGGAGCAGCAGGGTTCGGAGCTGGGCTGGGAGCAGCTCCCTGAGGGGATCAGTGATCTGGAGCTGGCGAAGAAGCTGCAGGAGGAGGAGGACCGCAGGGCTTCACAGTTCTACCAGGAGCAGGAGCAGGAACAGGCTCAAGCAGCGGCCGCCGCTGCCGCCGCACAGGCACAGGTCAGCACAGAAACTCACTGAGCTTCTCCAGCACCCAGATTTTGCCTGGTTGCACACTAACATACTACAAGAATCTTATAGGGGAGGTTGCAGAAAGCGTTATCACGTGGGTTTTTTCTCCTCTTTTGAGTTTTAACATTTATAGCCCAGGCTGAAGGCCTAGCTCTAATAGTCATTGTTTGCTAATGTAATATGTTATATTGTAATTCAGCATTTCCAGATCTAAATTATAGATTAAATTTTGGGGAAAGAGCATAAATTAGCAGTGTGTAAATCAATGTGTCAGTGTGTACTTTGTTTAAAAAAACTTTAGAAATTTCAAGCAGAATGTCTTTAAAGGAATCATTCAGCTAAGCCTGCTAATGTAGATAATAATTAATGGAAGCTATTAGCCACCAATTAGCATTATGTTGACTGGTGTTTGCTCACATTCGATGATTTGCATTTTTGTCTGAACTGTTCCTTTAATATGAAGAAAAACTGGCAGGTACAAAGGTTTGACTTGTTAAACATGAATATTTAAAGCTGCACTATGTAAGTTTTGGGGATTTGGAGACCTCTCTGGTGGAAATGTGTAATTGCATGCAACGTGCGGAAGAAGATTTTGTAACATGGGTTGTGCTTTTGTGCATACAAATAGTTTTGTCACCGTATTAGAATTTTGACTACCGAGTTATCAGAGGTGGGTCTTTAGCCTGGGCCATAAATGCCAAAACTCAGAAAGAAAACACCTTGAAATAATGCTAACTTCTGCTAGCACCCCTATGGAATTCTAGTAGTACGTTAGCAACAAGCTATGAGAAATTAACGTGAACATTTTTTGCCCATTCTACATTAAACACAGACATTTGATGCTTGTAAAGCACATTCTGGGCTTTAAGCAGACATTAAAGGGGAATTCCACCAATTTACACAACATTCAAAATGTTTTGATATCAGATGCATCATTCTAGTGCAGAGGTCACCAATAGGCGGACCGCGGTCCGAGTCTGCACCCAGATGCTGTCCTATGCGGACCTGGACCTATAACCGATAAACTATGGTGAATTATTGAATTGGTGGTCCTATTTTAATCTGCGTAGCTTTTCTAGCCTTTACTGTACCGCTTTAGCGGCTCGGGAAACTCACAGACCAATCGCATGCGTTGTAAATATCACATGTGGCACTACTCAGCCAATCAGATCTGTGCATTGCGATGAGCACTGAGACTCGAGTGAGTGACGCACAGACAGTGGAGGGACGAGGTGAGAAACAGCAGTCGGAGAAGAAAGTGAGTCAGAGGGAAGTTATTTCTCATGGTGAGCTCTAAAAAGAGAAAACTGACAAATATTGTTGAAATATGACTGAACTGTACTTTATTTGATTTAATATTCAGTTGTCGACTACATAAGATGTTGATATAATTACTAGGCTACTTCAATAAACAGTATATGGCACTGAATCATGATGCAAGTTTGACATCTGGACCTTTGTTTGAGGAAATTTTCTCTAACTGGACCTTATTGAATTTTAATTAAATAGCCCTGTTCTAGTGAAAGATGCAGAGTCAGAATTGTTCACAGTGGTGACAGGAACAGGAACCAGACATCTAAAGTGCTTAAAAAGCAACATGACGAAAAGCTATTACATGAAATAAATACACTGACTGATGCTTCTGGCGCTTGCCAAATTGTTTAACGATAGTTCTGATATAGGGTTGGAGCCTAAAGCGTATGTGTTTTTATTTATTCATGCCTTCACTGAAAGGATGAATCTGATTGAAAGAGTATTTAAAACGAACTCAACAGTATTGTCATCATATCTTCATCAGTAGAATGTTGGTTTTGAGACCTAAACATCGAGCCAGACTTTGTTAGGCCTGTGCTTAGGATGTTAATACATAAAGACATTACATGGTCAGAAAAACACAACCCAACACCTCAGACTTTTAAATGATTATTTCAGGCTTCACAGGCAGCTCGCAGCAGCACAGGCTCACCATATTCTAGGCTGTTTTCTTTCTCCTGAAAGAAGTACTGCTACTTCTTTACATTAAAAAAATCCCAGACAATGCAGCTTCAATTTCACAATACTCGCCTGTTCCTGTACCATCTCTCTCCGTCTGTCTTGCAGGGCCAGCAGCAGGCAGCAGGGGGCGCTCAGGCCGATGGTGCAGCAGGAGGATCAGCAGCAGCGGCCGGAGCTTCGGCGGGGGGAGCGGCTGCCTCTCCGAGCCCGGGCAAGCAGCCCTCTACGGGGGAGCGCAAAGCCAAGAAAGAGGCCAAGGACAAAGATAAATGCATCCTGTTGTAACAGCGGTGGAGCTGTTTGGTGTTTCTGGCGATTGAAAAAAGCAAAAGGAGCAACATTTCACACTGACTCAGTCCAGTAAGACCAGACAGTGGAGATAGAGAGAGGGAGGGAGGGAGAGAGAGAGAGAGAGGTAGGTGAAGGAGGGAGAGGATGCGCTGTTCCTAAGCCACCGGTGCCTGACTTTCTTTGCCCTTTGTGCTCTGAACACACACAGAAGAGCAGACGAGGGCAGCTGGGTGAAAAAACAACAACAAAAAAAAACAAAAACACTCGCTCTGCATCTTTCCTACAGCTGGCCCAACCTTCTTACACACAGTGCACTACTGTGGGGTGACCTCAAGCTTTGGGAGGGTTAATTTTATAGCAAAAGCAGAAAAATTATATAAACACTACCAGAGGAGAAAAAAAGATGATGGCACCTATTTTTTTTTCTTTCCTTTTTTTTTTCTTGGTTGATTTCCGTTATTGTTGTTTATAAGCTATTTTATACCTGTACACATATACACTTCACATAGATCTCCGAAGTCATGCGTCATTGTATAGTTGGCATCATGCCCATATCAGGAATTTCAGGTTTTTCTCTATGGCTGAAATGAATGGCGTTCTCTAAAATCTCAGCTGTCGTGTCCACTGGTGAACACAAATGCCCCAAAGCTGATCAGTCTGTCCTGTGTACATTTTTCAACCAAGTGTCACTGAATTCTCTGAATTAGAGGTTGTTTAGCAGTCAGAGTATAAATACTGCTGCGTGCTACAAGCAAGCTAACACTGCACTGAAATGACGCCGTGTTATTTGCCAACACCAGTTACTCAGACTGCAGCCAAAGCCTCTAAACTACCACGTCTGACGAAGCTTTCTGGTTTGTACGGGTGTTTTGGTGAGGTTGCCAGTCTTATGACGTCAATTCAGCGAACAGCAGTTTGGCTGCTCCTTAACAACCTCAAAATTCAGAGGATCCAGCAAAGTTTAGAGGAAAAACGTCCGTACAGTGAAAACGCATCAGCTTTGATGCATCTTAGTTCACCTCAGGGTGCAACAGTGGCGATTTTCCGAAGCATCATTCATTTCTGTCATCGAGAAAAGCAGCACCAGAGTTCCTAATATGACCATGACGCCAACTACAAAATGACGACACGACTTCAGGAGTCTAGAGGTAGAGGAGCTGCAACACTATTGGTTCATTTCTGAGGCAGGATATTTAAAAAGCAGCACGTTTTGAAGGTCATGTTTGGTTCGGAGAGGAGACAGAGGTAGCAGGTCGTGTTACACAACGTCGTCCAGGATTTTTGTTTGAATTGGATCTTCAGCGAACGTAGAAACTGTTGCCATTAGCACGAAATCCTTGAGTTCTAAGTCAGCGTGCCATAATGAAGGCTACTACACTGTATGTCCACCTGCTCATCCAGCGCTTCTTCTGAAATGAAGGGTATTAATAGGGAGTTTGTCCCTCTTTGCTGCAGTAGCAGCTTCTACTCTTCTGGGAAGGCTTTACTCTAGATGTTGGAACATTGCTGTGAGGATTTGAGTGCAGCCACAAGAGCATTAGTGAGGTTAGATGGTCAGTTCTGGATCACTCCCAACTCATCCCTAAGGTCCTGGAGCTCCATCACTCCAGAGAACACAGTTCCGCTGTGCACAGCCCAGTGCTGGAGGGCTTTAGATCCCTCTAGCTCATGCTTGGCATTGGACATGGTGACCTTAGGCTCATGTGCAGCTGCTCCAAAGCATCTCATTCTACTGGTCAGTGCTTTGCTATAGCGATCATTTGTGCACCACAGCTGAATTCACTAATTAGAAGGGCTGTCTGGATACTTTTGGACATATAGTGTATCTCAGCCTGGTGGTAAACTTAAATGGATTTATTGCCATTGAGGAATCTGAATCCGTGCTTCAACTGAACTTCCTTTTACAGCCACAAATCCACCAGTCCAGTTCAGATTGCCTTACTAGAGTATGCATATTGAAGAATCTCTACCCATAATCCCTCTGTATGTATGTCACCAGACCACATAGTGTTATACTGCAGCTTATGCGGGCATTTTGTTTTGCCAACCGTGTTAGGCTCCAATACTGAGTAGAATAGATCATTTCAGATATGAATATTTTCCTTAACACGTTCTCTGGTCACATCATTTCTTTAAATCTATACGCGAATTGCAATGTTCGAGAATAGTTTGGCAAAAAAATCTAATTTGCACAAATTTACACTTAGCTCAGATGTGAGTGATCAGCCAAGGTGTGTTTGGAGTCTGAATTTTGCTTGTTTAGTTTAAAATGGCAAGGCTAACGTTGCTAACAAACACTGGGAGTCAGTAGTCACCCAAATAGCCCACAACTTTTCCTGGAAAACATACATCACCGAAACGTCCTCAGACCACATCCAGGTCTTTATCAAAGGGGAATTCCACACTTTGCTCAACATTTCTGTATAATTTAAAGATTGAGATCTTTAAGATTGAGTGGTTTGGTGTGAAATGGTTCATTATAGAGAAATTTACTGACTTCTTTACAGTGGTGGTGATGGGAACCAGGGGTCACCATGACTACAGCAGAAATATAGCCACTTTATTTACTATCCAAAACCACCAGTGAACCTACATGTGTCTTCTGAGTGTTTATATGTAATGCTGATGATGGTAACAAAGCGGAAAATCTGAAAAAATAAGGATAATTCTTGGGGATACTATTTTGCCTTAGAACGTCTAGCCTGCACCTGTCCAGTAAACATGATTTAGGCCAAAACATTAAATAAAAAATATAATTAAATAATCAGTCATAGTCTCAGTCATAAGGCAGCATATTTGTAAACATTTCATGTAACAGCGTTCTGTAGAGGGCTGATCGTGGATCTGATTCCTCCGTACTTGCTAAAAAACTGACACTCCTCCTCCTGGTTGGTGAGTAAATTGGCTGTCTGCAGTGAACATTTGTTCATTTGTGTTGTCATACTGTGTCCTAAACCCCATCTGCAAGTCTGCAAGACCTTAGATGAAAACCTGGGCGCAGTTTAATCAGGCGGAGAGAACTTCTGGTGATGTTTTTACATAAATGTAAAGTTTGGGCTATTTGGGTGACTATTGAGTTCTAGTGTTTGTTAGCTACATTAGCCATGTGGCTCCAATTCTAATCTAAAGAAGCAAAACTTGCACTCCAAACACGTCTCAGCTGATCAACTCCATCTGTTGTAGGTGGAAAACTGTCTCAATTGGATTTTTCACCAAACTGTTCGTTTCAAAATGCTGCCATTGCTCTGAGCTCGACTCGCCCCGCCCCGAGACTTGATTTTTCAATATGTGTAACACAGGCTTGATGTTATTTTGGATTAGATTGTATATCTTTCTATGATTTGAGTATTATTTTCTATGTTTGTGCTTCTGTTGTTTTATGTTCACTCTAATTGTACTTTGTGTGTATATATATGTAACCTACACAGGCTAGAGCGTATTTCACCCCCACCATCTGTGCTACTGCCTTCTCCTGAGACACAGACCCCTTTTTTCTATCTATACATTCCAGCAGAATGCCTTGTGTCGAGCATTGTATGGAGGCTCAGACCCACACGCTCTGATGCTGGGACGTTTCCTCTCCGCTCTGCAGGAGGGGCCGCTGTTTTCGCGTGCGAGTCTGGTTTTTGCGCAGTTCGGATCACTCCACCACTCGGGGGGTGCGAGAGTGTGTTTAACACGCACAGTAGAGGGCTGGTTCTCCGTCCCAGCCCTGCAGATCTCAAGCACTGCGTGTTTTTGTGTGTTCTCTGCTCCGACACACCTGTTTCAGCTCATTAGGTTTGTTATCAGTGGAGGATCTCTGGGCTTAAAGGAAGGCCAGCATTATTGAGCCTGATGTCTTTCTGCTGCATCAGTTTGCATTGCTTTAGAAGCCCATTTCATCCAAGTAGAGGAGGAAAAAAAACTGCCCGTGTTGGCTTTAGTATGTCAGGAGACATTTTCGTCGCAAGTTAGAGTTTTTATCTTACAGTAATGACAGAGCCGGTTTATGAGGAGCCTGGTCTCTTCCTATTTCCCTCATTATATCAAAAACAGAACTGCAAAACAGCAGAGGGCGCCCATGAGTGAGTCCTCAATGAATGGGAGTAAATGGATGGCACTCAGTGGCTAAAAACGAAAAGTTAAAATAGTTTCTAATCACTCGCCCAGAACTTGAATTTTAGAAAGTAGAAGGATGTATTTCACTAAAAAAGCAAAGAAAGCTCACCTGTATGTTTCCTTTTTTCTACAGCAAACGGGTTTTGAGCAGCAGGACGCTAACATCACTGCTACTGAGTGCTGATTGGTTGGTGAGCGGAGCAGCTCATTGGCTTTTTGCGCTCACTGACGTTATGAACGTACACAAGGCGCTGTTTTAAACTCCTGTAACTCGAGTTTAAAAGCTCTTAAAAATATAACAGCGGTGTTAAAATGTTTTATGCTGCTCTGTGTTTAGAAAATGAATGTATTACTTTATATTAAAAATGTTTAAGCATTTATAAACTATGATTTTGCTCAAATGCTCCATCTTAACCCATTCATTTTGGACTCGCTCGGGAGCGCCCTCTAGTGTTTGAGAAACCTGGAATTACCACAGAGTGGCTCTCTATAAGTTCTCTGGTAGCGACTTATTTTCTCCAGTTTTGTCAAAATAATGACCTTTTTCTTCAAAACCTGATCCCAAATGAGTACCTTTTTCTGAAAAAGCTTGTGTACTTTGGTGTTATGTTGAAATAACGGCTTATTTTCTCAAACTTTTGTCTCAGGTTTAAATGAATTTGGTCAAAATTTTGACTGTCGGAATTACTTATTTTCACAGATCTTCTCAAAATAACCTGCATTGAAATTAGTTTTCACTTTAAATGTAAGTATTTTGACGAACTCGTTTCCCAGCTTCTCGTTAGTTTGAATAGTTTGAATGTGATTTTTACCAAACAAACTTTAAAGGTAACTAGCTAGCAACCAACCTGGCAAGCGTTGCTATGAAAGAACAGTCATAGGCAGAAGTTTGGGAAACTTAGAAAGTTTCAAAATAAGTGAAGAGGTCCTCTACAGACAACGTACTTCTGCACATTTCAATGCACAAGTACTGTTGATTTGAACTGAATACATTAAAACATAAAACGTGGCCTGTGCAAAAGTTATGGCACATTTTATATTTTGTTTTATTTTGGCAAATAAATAGAAATTGTGCAAAAAAAGCCACATTTAAGTCTGTTACCTGTAGAGGATGTTAACTTCTTTTCACTTAAGAAATTAACAAAGCATCCCACTTGACCAGGGGTGAGGAGCATGGATACGTCTA